TAATCAATTTAAATTAAATTTTTGTATAATTCATTTTAAATTTATAGTTTTTAAAAAAAAAAATAATTTTCTAGATAAAATCTTTAACATTTTTTTTCCTGATAAAGAAAAAGATTTAAAATTTGTCATATCGTTTAATGGCTAAGAAATAGATGATTGAATGTCTTCGCTATAATCTTTTATTATTTCCTTAATAATAGATTCAAACATAACGCGAAGCACTTACATCTGTCCTAATTCAATCCGATAGGAAAAAATCGTATAGGAAATCCTTGAAACGAGGATAACCTTTAAAAATTTAATTAGTTATTCATAGTCGAGAATTGATTATTGTATTTTGAAACAAGACTTAATATATTTATTATTTCTTTTTATAGTCATTCATACGCATTCTACAAAACTATGTAACTCAGGAAAAGAATTTACATGTACTGGCAATCAGACAATTTGTGTTCCATTATCCAGGCTGAAAGATGGTCATCCAGATTGTCCAGATGCTTCCGACGAAAGTAAGTTAAATTAATAATTAATTTATTTAGAATCTAGTAAGTTTTTATGAATTTTATACATTCAACATAATATTTGTGTCAAATCCAGTAATTTGTTTTAGCTACAAGCAAAAAACAAGACATTTGGACAATTATTACGATATGAATCAGAGGTTTTAAAATAAATATCTGTTATGAAACATACCTTACATTAAAAATATCACCATAATTAAATATACTTTTAAAACATATCTATAAGTAGTTCCTAATTAAATAGCAGAGAAAAAAACTAAACAATTTTCGCTTTTTAGAATCTTAAAATAGCATGTAGTTAATGCATTTATCGTTGTCCAATTAAAAAATAATTAAATATAAGGTATGTTATGACTATTAGATCAGGTTAAACTGTATAGTACGATATTATTGAAACAAAAATACGATTGCACACACGTCCAGTGGGGTGTTATCGTAGGGCAAAAACGTCAATTGGGGCCTCCTGTTGGTGGGGGCCCCAATCTTTTATAAGAAAATATTTCCCTCCAAGAAAATGTCTGAAGTCAAAACTGTGCATGAGGCTCTATAATTCAAATTCGCCTGGACCCCATGAAGTTATAACACGTCTTATAATTTGAATATTAGCAATCGTACTGTTTAATAATGCATGATAACATCGCCATTGTGCTTTCACATATTATATTTAGAAAACTAATAATAACAATAATGTTTAAAAATCCATAAACGGATCAATAGATTATAAATTGCATATATAAATATATATTTATATATGTAAATTATATAAATAATAAATATATAAATTAATATATATTTATATATTAATTTATTTCTTTAAATAAATAGCGTGAATTTAGATTAGAATCAATAAAGAATATTTTTATTTAATATTCCTATCTTCATTTTCGATTATCAACGGCATTTATCATAATGATTGTGTTCCGTAAATAATAATTTAAAATTATTAACGAGTGCATTACACATAAAAAGAAATTGGAATTACATTATAATTTTTTTAGAGCGTTTCGGAACTATAAAAAGATGGGAAAGAGCGATTTAATAGAAATGTACTATTGCAAATGAGTTCAATTTTATGATAATAACAATAATGCCAAGTTCCAATAGGAGCGATTTTCCTCTTCCGATATGACGAAACATATTAGCATTCGTAGCTCATCGTACGGGAGGTTTGACTGGTTCTCTCACCCTTTCTCATTCAGAATTGAGGTCAGTCATGCGCATGAATTCGTTTCTTATACTTTTTCTTTTGAATGCTGCGAAATTTTCAATATTTTCTTAAAATTGCCCCGTTTTCTACCTAATAATTCAACCGAAAGAAGTCATTATTTTGAAAACATTTTGCCTTATATATATATATATATATATAACGACCCGAACAGAGGAACATCATTCTCTTCAAATTAAAGTGGAATAGACAATATCTGAAATTCGAGGAATTCGAAATATTTTAATATTCGAGTCAGCTAAAATTATGAATTTTCATTTTTGTTCTTTGTGGAAATACGATACAATTAACTTAATGGTCTTACGAATACAATTAAGGTAATTATTATACGTGGGTATAGGAAGTAAACAAACTTCGTACCGTTATAATGCAACCAACACCCCTGCAGAAATGCAGTGTTCTTGCTGATAAATTGAGTGTACAAATTTAATTTAAAAATCGTTATTTATTATGTATTATTTAAGAAGATGGAAACGTAGATGTTAAATTGTATCGTAATTGTAAGATGTAGACTATATATTGCGCATATATGTATGTATATATACATACATACATACATATATACTGTATATAAATATATTCCTTGTTTTGAATGAAAATTTCGTCAATTTATACGGTCATTGTAAATGTTATGAATAAAAAGTTATTAGAAATGATCACTATTATAGAATATTATACAGTATTTAAATTTATTTCAAACAACTTAAAATATATTATATTATAATAACAATAATTAGAAGAATTATTGTTATCTGGAGATTAGACTAATCGTAAAAATCATTCCGTTTTATATGAATTCCATGTTGTACGAGTTACTTAGATTTTACAAATACGTGAGCCGTTCACAGCCCGGCACACCTATTTGTAAAATCTAAGTAACTCGTACAACATGGAATTCATATAAAACGGAATGATTTTTACGATTAGTCTAATCTCCAGATAACAATAATTCTTCTAATTATTGTTATTATAATATAATATATTTTAAATTGTTTGAAATAAATTTAAATATAATATTCTATAATAGTGATCATTTCTAATAACTTTTTATTCATAACATTTACAATGACCGTATAAATTGACGAAATTTTCATTAAAAACAAGGAATATATTTATATACAGTATATATATATGTATGTATGTATATATGTATGTATGTATGTATGTATGTATGTATACATACATATATGCGCAATACACAGTCTACATCTTACAATTACAATACAATTTAACATCTACGTTTCCATCTTCTTAAATAATACATAATAAATAACAATTTTTAAATTAAANTCAATATTTTCTTAAAATTGCCCCGTTTTCTACCTAATAATTCAACCGAAAGAAGTCATTATTTTGAAAACATTTTGCCTTATATATATATATATATATATATATTAAATTTTAGTTTTGCTTGATCCAAATCACTTTAGAGTATTTTCTTTTTACTTCTAAATATTAAAAAAAAAATTGTGCAAGCATTTCTTTAAATAGTAAAACAGGGTGAACTGTGATGTAATTAAATATTACATATATATAGAGTAGTGTATAAGTGTATAATTTTTTTTATATTGAATGCTAAAAATAACATCCTATTTTAAACACAATTTCACTATTGATAGTATAGAAAAACAAGTTATTTTATATTTATTCACTGTCGTATTCAGTTTTAGGTGGAAGAAACAAATATCCGCCCTAATACCGAATATTAAAAATAGTTACCTTTCACCCCAGTTATAACGTGTAACAGTTTACCTTGCAGTTAACGTATTGTTTCAACTAATTTTTTTTCTATAGGTAATTACGTCACAATGATATTTTCAGAAATTAAATTAGGAAAATTCTTTGTTTCCTACGTAAGGCGTATTTGTTTTAAATAATTTCTGTTTAGTCTGGAAACAATTTAGCACAAAGTTAAAAATTAATTTATTGAATAGCTGAAACTAAATAAAGCTTAAGCTTGACTTCCGGAAATGGTTTACAACTTTAATTCTGCTGTAAATTCTTTTGTAGAAGTTATTTTCGGTCTAACTGTTTTATTAGGTGGAGGGATTTTTTTTTTCAAAAGGAAATTTCTTTCTCATTAGGGTTTAGTTAATAGATATATATATATTTTTTTTCAATAACATAATTAACGTAATTATGGGATATTAATAACGGAAAAAGGTTGTAAAAACGATAATTATAATCTCCATAAATTTGACCCATTAATCTTTTCGTAGTCGTGACGAAAATGACCGTGTCATATCTGGTCTGTACCCAACTGTTATGCCTGGTGAACATAACCATTATAAATATGGTTAATAAAATTTACTTCAAGCAAAACTGCCGTAGAATAATTAAATGAGAGCAATTCAAATTATCCAGATTAAATATTTAAAGCTTATCGTCGATGGATAATTTATTGCTTGACGCGTTTTTTTAAGTTATTAAAATTCAGTAAAAATATATATTTGAATTATTTATAATGGGGTTGTGAACCTTGAGGATTCTACAATCTTTACAGTCCTATCCAGACAGCATCTCTACTTTTTACATAGATTTTACTAGACTAGTTTTGCTAGAATGGATAGATAAAACTCGAAAGACCAGAATTCAAACAGGTGGAGTTTATGTGGAATTCCTACATAAAGTCTTCTTATATTTTTCTTAAAGTCTTATATTATATTGATTTAGTCATTTGAAATTTTATATCGTAATATCGAATAAAAGTAAATAGTTAATTTTTGTGAATAATAATTATAATTATTTAATAGTAACATTTTATTTCTACTTCAATATTATATCTTAAGCTTTCGGGAATAAGCTGCTTGTTATTCCATACATACTATTTGTCTGTCTGTTCTTTATGTATATGAGGACTGTAAGAGCAAATGCAATCGAACTTTCCAAAAATCATCCTCTAATTCAGAAAGATAACGACTACTTTTTGTCTGAAAAAAAAAATCGGTTCTTTTACAACAGGATGGCTTATATATCAATTTCAACGAAATTGTGGGTATTCTGTAGTGTTAGAACACTATTGAACATCACACTATGAGTAACCTTAAGATTTTCGAGGGTTATTTTATACCATTATTATATTTTAATTATATTTGCTAGACCAAGTTTCCAAACTGATATCTAGCTTTTGTAATGTCACACGATATGTCCTCTTTTGGATCGATTGGTACTTTTCCATCTCCGAGCAGTTGTTGAGTGAAACAGCCAGCAGATAAATCATTTTGTAAGGAAACTCTCATGTTATTTTTAGCTTTTTTTAAAAGTACGATTTATGTTCATCGGCTATCGTTTCTTTTATTAATAGAATGACATAGTGTTTGATGTATTGCTTTATTGAAAACTAAAAACATTGTATTCGATTCGCATTATAATAAAACTAATTTTAAATGTAAATTCTCCTTTTTTAGAATTTTCTACAATGTCATGAGTACAATACCAAAATTTTCCGAACAACACTGCGTATCTTGCTAGTATCTAATTGCTGTTATATCAAATAAGATAAACACTGCACACGTCAAAAGATAATTAAGTAATGATATTTTAACTTGTAGAATGTTTTGTTATAAGCTGTAAGCTACAAATAGATGCGCTTAACGATTTTAATTAAAGAAAGATAAATTTTATGTATAAGATAACATATGTGAGAAAATTGTCATTGATATCCAACACCCTTTAAGGTTTAACAAATAATTTACTGTGCTGCAAAAAACGGGCGTAGTTGGCAATGACTTTCTCTGAATTTTAATTTATTCGATCCTTATTC